ACTCCACGGCACATAACAACAAAACAACAAATATATCATTCAAACACACAAACTGAAAACTACTGTGATGGGATGATAGAATAAATTATAATATGAGCATTCTCTAGAATGCTGTACAACTATTAAAAAGAATAAGTCATTTCCATGTTGTTGGTATTTTTGTTAAGCACCATTGATTTAGTTCCATCTCATAGCAACACTGTATAGGGTTTCCAAGGAGCAGCTAGTGATTTTGAACAGTCAACTTTGATGTTCAAGTGCATTATTATCCCACAGTGCCACACCAGAACTCCAATGTGTATAGTAGACTCAAATTTTATTGAAATTGAAGATGTTTGTTTCTATATTCTGATTTATATTTACAGAAGTATGTAGAAAGGAGTTGAAGAATGTATACCAAGCAGTTAAGATTGATGATCTCCAAAGCATTAGTTTGGATACTGATTTAACTTTATATGCCTCTGTACTGTTGGGCTTGTTACAATACACATCCACTACTGTTGTTGTTATGTGCCATCAAGTCGATTCTGGCTCATAATGATCCTATATGATAGTGTAGAACTACCCCATAGGGTTTCCTAGGCTGCAATTTTTATGGGGATTCCTGGTATGGCACTGTAGGATAAGCACTGGACTGTTAACCGAGAAGTTGACAGTTCTACCCCACCAGTTGCTCCTCAGAAATCCTACTGAGGGTTTCTCTGAGTCGGAACTGAAGAAACAGGACTTAACAACAACAATCTCTGTGGAGCAGATCACCAGATCTTTTCTTCTACAGAGCAACTGGTGGGCTTGAACCACTGGCCTCTTGGTAGAAGTTGAGCACTTAACCATTGTGCCACGAATGATACTTCATCTACTACTAGAATATATATTTTAATTAAGTAAAGTCAAAAAAATCTACACGCAAAAGTCACACAGGTTTCTGTTGAAAATATTTGTTTGGTGTACATGCATGATGAGTGAAGTCAAGAAAACTATTTATAGCTCGAATGATCCTATAGCTCACCAAGCAAACAGAAAGGCATATTTCCTTTGCATGCTGAAACTTTATCTTTTAATGAAAATAATATTAGTCTTTCCAAGTCTGAACAAAATGTTGTTAAGTTATGATCCTTAATTGAGTATCCACTTGTTGTTCAGTGCCCTTGAGTTGATTCTGACTCTTAGCGGCCCTGTATAGGGTTTCTGAAGCTTTGAAAATCTTTGCAATAGCAGAAAGTCTCATCTTTCTCCTGAGGGGCAGCTAGAGGGCTGGAATTGTAGACTTTGTGGTTTGCAGTCCAGTGTTCATTCTAAATAGCAATCACTTAGAAAGGAAATGTTCCATTTAGATAAACTCTGCCTGAAGGTTATAAAAGGACACGTATGACAAAGAGTCAGAGCAACACTCGGCCCAGTGGTCTAAACTCTCATGTGACTTGCATGAAGAGGTGATGTCATAACTGACTTCCATGAAGAGACTTCACTTTGTCCAGAGGGCACAGAAGAAACATAATGAAACTTAATTGAGCAATGACCAACACAGGGGATTAAAAGACTATTTATAACTTTACTAAACAACTCTGGTGTTAGCCAATCAGAGACTGATTTTGCCATTGGTACCAAGGAAAGATGTTAATTGTGAGGGAAATATGCAGCTCTGGGGAATATATAAAAAGCCCAAAGCAGAAGTCAGCCACCAAATCTTCTCCAAGACTTCTCCAAGCAACTCAACTCTCAACCCATCTCCCCACACCATGGCCTGCTGCCAAACCAGCTTCTGTGGGTTTCCCAGCTGCTCCACTGGTGGGACCTGCGGCTCCAGTTGCTGTCAGCCAAGCTGCTCTGTGTCCAGCTGCTGTCAGCCCACCGGCTGCCAACCCAGCTGCTGCCAACCTACCTGCTGCCAAACTGGCTGCGGTGGGGTTGGTAGTGGCATCGGCTGTGGCCAGGAGGGTGGCTCTGGAGGTATGACCTGCCGTGTCAGGTGGTGCCGCCCAGATTGCCGCATTGAGGGTACCTGCCTGCCCCCCTGCTGTGTGGTGAGCTGCACTCCCCCAACCTGCTGCCAGCTGCACCATGCCCAGGCCTCTTGCTGCCGCCCATCCTACTGTGGACAGTCCTGCTGCCGCCCAGCCTGCTGTTGCCAGCCCACCTGCCAGCCCAGCTGTTGTGAGCCCACCTGCTGTGAGCCCACCTGTTAAAGGCCAGGTTGCTGATCAGTTAAAAATGGAAGGAGAAGGGGAGCAAAATTGTGTTCATCTGAAGTACTCAATTTCTATTTGAATGCCAAGTATTCTTATCAGAATTAACAAAAGTCTTCAGAGCCAACTGGATATGCTTCAATAACGCGCTGAAAACACACACCAAGCAGAGTGTCCCGCCTGGCATCAACACAGACCAGGAGGAGCAGTTCTGCATTTCAGTGACATTCCTGACCTCCTTCCAGATTCTTCATCACCACATATTTCCAGACCTTTTTTCTTCTTGATATCTTCTGTTAATTGCAAATAAAATGTTTAAATGTGCAAAGCAAATTGAGTTACTGTCCTTCTACCTTTAATCTTGTCTACCTACAGCTGGAATTCAAGAAGAGTGCATCTGCATTTTGATGACAATATCAAGGCAGATATATATATAAAATATAAACCAAAAAAATTCAATATAAGCTACAAGCCACCGCATAGCATGGATGATTAGTCAATCCCAAAAGGACAAATACTGTATAAGACCATTATTGCAAAAGCTTAAGAAAAGATACCCATCCTAAGGAGGAAAAAAAAATCTTTGTTGGTTACCTAGAGGGGTGGGGTGAGGGGTTTGGGGAAGGTGGAGGGAGAGGCAATGGTAGAGCACAGGGTTAGGCGCAGACACATCATAGTTCGGGTGTTGGTGAGGGCAATACAGAAGAAGTGGGAGGAATTGAAAGAACAAGGTAGATAGGGGAACACTGAAACAGGTTTGCATGGAGCAGAAGTAAATAGTGATGCATGATCAACCTTGGAACAACAAGGCTCTTTAATACAGGGATCGAGGCATAGCCTGAAGAGGGGAAATAATTCTAAGAAGCTTGACTGTCTTATGAATTTTGGTTTCCCTTGCCTACTATTGTAAAATAGACACTTGAGTGGGATAGAAAGGAATATCAGGAAACATGATTACAGAAAGCTTATAAGCCCGTCTTCAGCCTATAACTGATTGGTATTCCAAAAAGGGGTTCTACAACTTGCCCAGTGAAATGGGCCTCTTGTGGAGCCTTTGCAGTGTATAGAACCTTATGTGGAATCCTGAGCCCAATCCAGAACCTTCTGAGGTGGGACATTCCCACTAGAAAGGACAAACAGACCAGCCTGGTGCAGCTAGAGCAACAAAAGATACATCTTCAAAGAAAGATCATCAAGAAAAACCCAAAACTAAAATGGCAGTATGACTGGCCACTACAAGAATAAGCAAGTTGTTCACCGGGAAGCCATCAAGACAAGCAATCAAGTCCCTTCAGGACAAACCCCCTCTAAGACTGAAACACAAAGGGAATGCATGAGAGGGCACGTGAGCTTGCTGGCGACCACGTTAGTCTACTGGTGAGTGGAAGAGGGGAAAAGGCAGCAATGAAGAAATGGGCTGAGTTTGATCATGTTCCACGGACTCCTGTTGACCTGGAGATGAGAGAGAGAAGAGAAAGGGCTGGTTGGTCCAAAGTGTGGTGAGACCTAGGGACACCTGAGCCATGGACAAGGATATAGCCATGGAGGGCTAGAGCTAAGAGTGAAGCATCCAGCTGATATGAAGTGAGGGGAGATGCACAAGAACACCCAAACTTGCAGATAATACCCATTTCACCTAGCCTCGATGGCTTGATGATCAGAACTCAACTAGAGGAAGATAAAAAACAATTTTTGATAAAGGAAACGAGGGTAAATTGCTACAATTTGATGCACTTGACCTATACTCATGGAGGAAGGAGCTCTAAATAACAACAGAGAGGGAAGGAGTCTTCACAACAAGTATCAATGCTGTCCCCTCTATACACAGGGTAGATATGGATGGGCAACTTAGACATTGGCTACCTAAAATGAGGGAGCGATAAAGGCACAAAGTGACTGGCTTACAAGATTTCAAGAGGGAGTTTAGTTTAGGAGCGTGTGAGGAAAGAAAGAGTCCCTACTGAATAACTCTCATCTTGTCTAGATGGGTCTTATAAAAAGAGATGGGGATAAGATTCTTATGATTCAATTGTGAGTAATTGTTATCATGACTAATTAAGACTGTCACAATTGTAAAGGTAGAAGTTTTGTAACAAAAACAGGGAAGTAGTTAATCTTACAGTCCAGAAACAGAGAACCCTAGGACCATCAAGGGAGAAGAGCATAAGCGGAATGCAGGACCCTATTCAGAGAAGCGACACTAGAGATGGAGGCAGAGATGTGGACATGGATAGAGACAGCAGCTGAGGACTCTAGATTCATGGAAAGAGAGGAACTGAGAGCTGGTGGCCAGCAGACAGGCTTGCAGAATGTGCCCTTCGGTAGTGTAATTCTTATATATGCCTGAGTGTTAAAAAAAAAAAAAAAGGTGCTAAAATGAATAGAGAGAAATACTGTTAACTGGTGGTACATGGAGGGGATTATAATCATTGTAATGAAACAAGATATATGATTTGTTGGATGTAAAACTAATGATCTGCCCTGTAAACTTTTACTCAATTCACAATAAAAACATTCTTTTTTAAATTCAATATAAATTGAACTATGCTTGAGTCCATCAGTTAGTAAAATTCTTTGTGTACTACATAGTCTTTATAGTTCTTCAAATGCTCACATGCTCTAGCATATTACAATTAGGTCTAGACTGATAAGGCCATTTTTAGTTACAATTTTCAGGTTGATCAAAGCTATGGGATTCCTACCTATATGTTATGATACCATGTTTAATCTCTTCCCTTTACCATACTAGATGTTCTCCTTAGTGCGTACCCAAAATCATAAGAAATTTTATTACCTACTACATAAACAAATTTTTGGAGTCCTGGTGTGGCACTGTAGAATATGCATTAGACTGTTAACCTCATGGTCAGTGCTTCAAAGCCACCAGGCAGCCCACAGAAACCCTACACAGGATCTCTATGAGTCAGAACTGACTCCACAGCATTTAACAACAAAACAAGTTTTGAAAGCACAGACACCAGATACAATTTCTAAGAGCATTTAACTTCTTCCCATGCCTTAGCCTATCACATTCTTCCCACTATTGTCCATATTGTTTTCTATACTTCAACTCCAAAACTGACCTACCTTTCCTATAAGCATGTATGAGGTATGTCTCTGGTCTGAATGATAGTTGAACAAATATGGAGAGTACTAGGTTCATCCATCATCATTTGTGGGACAGATTCTCCAGAAATCTGCAGCTGATACATTCTCTACTTTACAACCCAGCTTGAGAAATATCTCATAAGAAGTCAACACAAATGTAGAACAACAACAAAAAACAAGGGCTTTTTCAGTTCATCATTGAAACCGTGTATGAAATGTACAAGATACAATGGGCTATGACATTTTGAGAAAAATATTTTCTAAGTTCTCAGCACTTACCTGTGTCATTTAATTGTGTAATCATGGATCACATGCAAGAACAAGAACTTCAGAGACGAAAAATGGGATGGCAGTATAGTCTTCAAAGTGCTATGACTCAGAGATGTCTTGTTTGTTGGTTGGTTGGTTTTCCTAGTCCTTGAGTCAACTATTAAGTCTAAACAGAAAGAATTCACCATTCACTAACCTTTCTTTCTTCCTTTCTTTCCTTCTTTCTTTCTTCCTTTCTTTCACAAGAAATAACAAGGACTCTCCCTCATGAGAGGTACTACACCTTGAAAGTTCTATTTAACTTTATAACTTTATAAATTATATAGGTATCCATGAATCACGCCTTTACTCCACCCTCTTGAAAACAGATTCAATAAACATTTATTAAGTTTCTACCACAAGTTAGACACCCTGATGAAAATCTTCATTTAGACTTTGTCATTTTATTCATAAGAAAAGATTTCTTCTGTGAAACACAATTCATATTTTATACATTTCAAATTAGTAGAAAGCATGGAACCTAGAATGATATTTTGATTTGATGTTGGAGTAAATGAGTTGGCAACTTCAATCATGCATGACCAAAGGTATTCCTTCAACTCAGTGGATGTAATGCCATTCTAAGTTCAGGAAAATCCAATCTCTATATGCAGGAGAAAAAACTGTAGTTAAAAACAAGAGCACAATTACCCTTAATTTAAGCATATGGACATACTGTCACATGAGATGAGTATACAAAATGAGGGTGTTGACTTAGACTATGGAAGGACTCTTTGAACATGGAAAAGCACAAACATATTCCAAAGAGTAAATGATTGATATGACGAATCCTAATAAAACTATAAAACAAAGCAATTTTCAAACTGCTACTCATGATGCATCGCAAGTATTTTAATGTACGCCAATCAGAGGACCACTAAGGAACAAATTTAAACAAAAACAAGGAAGATATGTTGAGAATTTTACAAACAGCAGCTGACCAAGATATATAAAAGGCCCCAGGTGCAAGTCACCGGCAAATCTCAGAAATTTCCCCAAGCAACCCAACTCCTGACACCATGGCCTGCTGTCAAACCAGCTTCTGTGGGTTTCCCAGCTTCACCACTTGTGGGACCTGCAGCCCTAGCTGCTGCCAGCCTAGCTGCTGCCAGCCCAGCTGCTGCCAGCCCAGCTGCTGCCAGCCCAGCTGCTGCCAGCCCAGCTGCCCACCCACCTGCTGCCAAACTAGCTTCTGTGGCTTTCCCAGCTGTTCCACTGGTGGGACCTGTGGCTCCAGCTGCTGCCAGCCCACCTGCTGCCAAACTAGCTGCGGTGGGCTTGGTAGTGGCATTGGCTGTGGCCAGGAGGGTGGCTCTGGAGGTATGACCTGCCGTGTCAGGTGGTGCCGCCCAGACTGCCGCATTGAGGGTACCTGCCTGCCCCCCTGCTGCGTGGTGAGCTGCACTCCCCCAACCTGCTGCCAGCTGCACCATGCCCAGGCCTCTTGCTGCCGCCCTTCCTACTGTGGACAGTCCTGCTGTCGCCCAGCCTGCTGTTGCCAGCCCACCTGCTGCCAGCCCAGCTGTTGTGAGCCCACCTGCTGTGAGCCCATCTGCTAAAGGCCAGGTTGTTGGTTTTCAATTTGCCAAGGGCACAGTATTTCTAAACCTATCATCTCTTCAACCACCTCTGGGCCATTAACAACTTTTTAGATGTCTAGTTCGGTTTTTACTGTGGCAGGTCCCAAATATATGAGCCATACAGTCCTGCCTGATTCCATTTTGCAGCAGATACCTTGACCTTCCTTTGTAGATACCGAAATTATGTGAATCTACTAGCTGGTCATCACAGTTCTTTGGATATACTATTTCAGATTTGCCTGTAGGATTGAAAATTACTGGCATGTTATAAAATTTATCCTTGAGAATTGATCACAGGGTTAATATTTGCTTTCTTTGTGATCTACTTTTAAGTTTCTATTTGCCTATATTTTTTCTCCAACACCAAAGGTCTCAGAGATTAAGCTACAGGAAATCTCTCCATCTCACAATGGAAAATGGAGACTTTTCACCCAACGTTCAGCTTCTAAGTAGTAGGCTGGACGTTTCCATTTTTCAACATCTTATTTCATCTTCTGGATCATAATTATCTTACCTTTGGTTACTTCAATAATATCTATAATACAGTGCCTCCTATCAGTTCCTAATAAATGTTATGTACAGGACAATGAACCATGGTCTGTGTTTTGACTTGTATATAAGATGGACTAGCTGCTTATATTTCAAGAATGTCTACTTGAAAGAAGTAAGTTTGTTTCTAACAGACTGAAATTATATATAGTGAATCCATTCACTCAATCAATAAAAAGTTATTGACCACCCACTTCTAAGACTGAGACTATGGCGATCAGCAAGATGGAAAAGAAATCATTCTTATCCTTGAAGAGTTTAGTATCCAGAAAGAGAAAACATAGCTGTGAAAATAGCCACATAACTAAATAAAGTATGGTGAGATAAACTGCATTCTCTTAGCAATTAGTGGAATTTCTTTTAAGGGCTAGATGTCTTTTGGTCAATACATCTTAACAGACCAGGTTGTAGTGAATCCCCACAGGACATGCATGTTGTCCACTACAAAAGCCTATGAGAATAATATGAAATAATTATACCTGGATAACAAAAAAGGAAGAATATTTTTATTTTAGAAAGGAAGTGGGGAGAAAAGAGAAGAGTCAAGAGGACTAGTCAGAGGCTATGGGGTTTTCTATATAACTTCCATCCTCCCCATTAAATTATCAAACTCACAAAATCCTTTAGGGGGTACACTTTCTCATGAAAATTTTCAGTGAAGGGGCTGAGTTTCATGTCTGGGTTCATTAAAGGGAAAACAGGCAGCCCAGGAGCTAGAGACAGCAAGAATCACAAGAAAATAGCCCCTCAGGAATTTGCAGAAATTATGAGGAGATTTTATATTGCCACTGTGTATGGAAAGTAATATTTCAGTTATGTGGACTGCAAAGAATTCCATAAACATGAGTTCAAAAAGGATGACACCATTTGAGGATTAGTAGGGGCTAGGTGGTGAGAGCAGAGTCATGGAAGGACTCACCAGGCAGGTCACCTATGAGGTGGGACTTGAAGGTCATTCTAAGTGGGACGTAAAGAGGGAGTATAAAAGAGTCCAACCGACCACAATGACTTTAGTGCCCTTCTCTACACATCAGCTGTGAACAACCTTGGGGAAAACATGTTTGAATTGATATGGATGAAGACAAATCAATACATTTATTTCAGATTCAAATAAAGCTTAAACATTCTATAATCTACCAACCTAACAGCTAAGCACACTACAAGATCTTTCTTCAATCTTGACTTACTGGCTGTCCTGACAGGGAGGGTGAGAGAGTGAGTATTTCACCTTCCCAGGTACACTACAGGAACAGGGAAAGAGAGGGGAGTCGAGAGTGAATGTCAGCATACACCATATTTGAGCATGCCAGTTCTACACATTTTCCCAAATAACCCAAAATGCTGCTAGTTTTCAGAGGAGGCAAGAGCAAGAGAAAGTTCTGAAGAAAAGTCTGAGCTACAGTGCAGATTGCCCTTCCATTTCAATCTTACTTCCAAGGAGATTTAATAATATGTGAAGTGCCAATGGAAAATATGGCTTCTATATGGAGTCTTTATGGAGCTCTGGCAGCATAGTGAGTTATAAGCCGGGCTGCTAACCATACCAGTTCAAATCTACCAGCTATGAGTCGGAACCAGCTCCACGACACAAAGCCATCACTACCACCATGGAGTCTTTAACAAGTGCCAGTAGAATAAAGGAAAGACCCTGTGGGGTTTGGGAAGAAATCTGTGTCCGCTCTTATATATAACTATTCTCCTTTTGATAAATGACTGCTAGCTTTCTAGTGGACCCTGGGAGAGACTAGATGACCACACAACTTGAACTTCTTATCATGGACTAGATGTTCTCTAGCCCACCAAGCCATAGGTTAGGTGTCTATGGTGGTGGTGGTGTGCTGTGGAGTCAGTTCTGACTCATAGCGATCCTGTACAGGGTTTCCAAGGCTGTAAATCTTTACAGGAGCAGAAAGTCTCATCTTTCTCCCACAGAACAGCTGGTACTTTCAAACTGCTGACCTTTGGTTTGCAGCCTGATTCATAAACACTATGCTACCAGAGCTCCTTTAGGTATCTATAAAGAGCAATCTATTAGAGAGTGGAAATGGCATGTAAGATATAAGACCTCAGCATATCCAAAAGGTATATGTAAATTAAGTAAGCAGACTCTTTTGAGAAGCCCCTGCTAAAATATCTACTCTTTCTCAATCTACATATTTGACTTCATGGGTAGTTCCTTGTAAACAGTTTGTTGATAAGAAAAAATGTCCAGTTTATAGAGAGTTGTTAATGATATATTGGCACCAACTGAAAATGCATCGCATCATCATTATAACGCCAATCAAGAATGACCATGAAGAGCAACTGTAAAGAGAAATTATCTCAGTAAGTAGAACTTTGAGTTATAATTTTGGTTGTTCACTCTGTCAGGAATGAAAGATAGTTACATGTATAAAAATGGATTTATAAGAATATGCTGGACAGTCAGAGGCTTGGAAAAACAGAAGATTGGTGATAAGGAAATCTAGGGAAGAGATTTTTGTTGGTGCACTCCCATAAGGAACACAGTATGAAAAAGACATTTGCATCCCTGGTGTAATTTTACCAAGGGCAACCACAGCAGATGAGGCATTCAATAATCAAGTGGACTAAATAGCATGACCTATGAGTGTCATTCGATCCGTTACCCCAACTATCCCAGTGCTTACTTACTCAATAGGCCCAAGTACAAAGTGGTTATGCTGACAATGATAGAGGTTATTCATGAACTTAGTAAGCATAGACTTCCTCTCCCTGCTGTTGACCTGGAAACCCCTGCTAATGACTACCTAACCTGCCAAAAGCAGAAACCAACAATAAGCTCTTGATAAGGCACCATTGACAGAGGTGACCAGATATAAGTTGTTTACCTTCAAATCCTTCCATTATGGAGGGGGCAGGGATGTAACTTATGTAGAATAGACATAATGGTATAGTGGGTTGGGCCTGTCAGGTTGGAAGGCACTCAAAATAAGACTGGGGAAGAGCTGCCTCCTCAGAGAAGAGCTGACCTTGATGTGGATGGAGCAAAGCTTTCAGGACCTTCATTTACTGATGGGACACAACTCAAAATGAGAAGAAACAACTGCAGGCATCCACTGATAATCAAAATGGAATACACAAAGTATGAATCTAGAAAAAGTAGAAGTTCTCACAAATGAAATGGAGAGATTTCTGGTTTGTGGGTGGAGGAAGCAAAAGGGACTCAGGAAAAAGTCTCTTAGGTGGAATTGCAGAAAAGCCAGAAAAAAACGTTTTGCCAGGGCAATCCTGGAGAGTTCAATTCAATATAAAGTAAGGGGAAATAGTTTTGGGGGCCTACCAGCAGAGAAATCTAATGGAGCAAGAAGGAACACAGAGATTTCTGAATCATTTGGGACTCTGCCTCCAACCCACAGTCTGGGCAGAGATCAGAGGGCAGGGCCATAGCCAGCAGCTAGGGAGCAAAAACCACCCATCGACTTATGGAAAAAGAGGTGTGATCTTTTTTTTTTTTTTTTTCCCTTCTTTTTCTATGTTTCCTTCAACTCTTGTGCTCTGCCCTGTCACACCCTCTCTGCCCAGCCCGGTTGTCTTCACATGGGTGGAGGTACACCCCCAAATGGGTCCAGCATTGTGCACACAGGGCACAATTTTCCCATGGCACAAAGTATCTGAAAGTCCAGAGGCTAATCCTCCGGTGGATTCTTATGACTTCTGACTGTGGGATTTAGCCTGGAAGTCGGCTATCCTACTTGTTGTTGTTGTTATTAAGAGCTGTCGAGTCGATTCTGATCAATAGCAACCCTGTATAGGGTTTCCAAGGAGTAGCTGGTGAGCTTGAACCACCAACCTTGCAGTTCAAATGGCTTTGCAGTCTGATGCATTAGCCCACAGTACCACACCAGGACTCCTACTTGGGTGAGATCTTTTATTCCTGCCTTATCTAACAAGGGACAGCAAGTCTGGCCATACAACTGAGCCATATTTGCACCCTGTAAAACCCCAACATAAAACTCAAGAGCCAACACCAACTATGAAATACAAGATCAGCAATTAAACCCAACACCTGTTAAAAACACACTAAAGGGAGAAGGATGCTATGGATACAGAGAGACCTAACTAATCATCAGAGAAAAAAGTGGGAACAATCTTTCTTCCATTCATTTCTCATTCTCTGTGCACTTACCACGGCGGTGACTAGAGGGGGTTCCTGTGCAAGTCGACAACCCCACTCACCCCTGAAGGTTTTTGCTGTGCATGCACACTGATCTCCTAAGCAAACAACACTGGACTAATTTGCTATGGGTTTTACTTTTTTGCTGTTGCAGTTGCTTTTTTTGTTTTGTTTTGTTTTGTTTTTGCTTTTACTTTTGTTTATGCTTCTTGCCTTCCTGGTCCTACTTTTTTTCCTTGAGGTGGGAGCTTCCTCTCCCTACATTACCCAAGAAGAGACAGCAATCGTAGCCATA